GTAAATATAACTTTGGGGAATCTAATTGTTTGGTCATAATTAATGTGTTACTTGTTTGAATGAAACAGACAGTGTTATATGGGAGAAAATTAGGTTTGCAATAGTTCTGTTTTATATTTTCTCTGTCTTCACATAAGTTGAGTAATCTTCAGTATCTTTTTTGATTTATTGCACTACACCTATATAAGCATGTTTAGTAAATGCTTTTGCAGTAGTGATGTGGCGAGCAAGGTCTGAAGACCTTGTTCCACCACCTCCTCCTAGTCTATTTAATCATAATCTGGCTAAAATAAATTATGTGTTTTATAGTATGATGAAAGAATAACATTTAGAAATAGCTAGTATAAATGTTTTGACAGAACCATAATTATATTGCGAGTATTTACATTATTACATAACTTTAATTTATATCCTGGATAGGTTTCATCACAAACCTTAAGCACTTAATGAGAATTGAACGAATAACTTACCCACAATTTAGCCTAGGCACACCTCTTTACATTATTATTATTTGTTAAGCATCATATGTTTGGTACCATACAGTGCTCAAAATGCAGAAAGTCCCTGTTCAGTCAAATTATGTTCTAAACATATCATGCAGACTAATCCAATTATAGAATGAAATAGGGGATCTTTTGATCTTAATGCAGCTATATGCTTTGTAAGTATTTTAGTTTAATCTTCAATGAAATGACATTTGACTTTTACTGTACAGTATATCACAGATGCAGATTTGCTTCCTTACAGTTATTCTTCATTTTTGCATTAGTTAAGACAGTGTCTTAAAGAAAAGATGGAACACTTTGGTCAGCTTCTAGTTATATCACCATTTTCTTTTTGGAACTCCACCTGTCCCACTGAGGAAGACTTATCTTTTTCCCACCTGCTTAGGGTTTGCTCTCTTTTGATACAAGTAGTCCTATAGTTAAACATACCTTGCAGTGTTTATCCTTTAAAATCAGCATTTACCTATGGTTAACACCATATTTAAGAAACATCTGTTTGTTGCTATTTTTAAATTTTAGTGAGTGGAACAATAGGTAGATGACTTTTTTTAAATTATAAGTCCCCCTCATTCACTATGGGAATTCATCATTTCGTAGTCATCCCTATATGTCAAGAACTGAAAGTATTGTATCAAATAATCAGGGTTTCCTGACTAGCTTTGCTAACGTAAGTTATCAACATACTTATTCAGAATAATTAATATTTTAAAAGTGGTGAATTCTGAGAGTTGAAAGATGTTACTGAGAATATACTGGCAAATCACTATTTAAAGTGTATGTCTTGGTATCTATCATACTAGGCACAAATGTAGAACTCCTTGCTCTGAAGAACAAGTTATATTTCAGAAATTCTGGAAGGATTTTTTTTTATATTTCAACAAATGTAAAAGACCTATGAATGTGTTGTGTTGCTCAGAAGTATAGTTACTGCATTTTGATTTTAAGAACAGTCAATTCTAAGATTTTCACAGCCGTAAATGACAAAGAGAAACCAGTTCATGCTAACGTGGCAAATAAAAAAAAATCCAGCTTGTAAATTGATCATTGTTTCAATAAAGAATTTGCACAGAGTATATTGCGTGTGTCTTTGAAGATGTGAGAACAGCAGTGAAAATGATGATGCGATTGCAGAACAGCAATATCTGAAGATTGAAGATAATAACCATGGCGTAAATTCCCATCGCGAGCAAGAAAGAGTTGAAGGCCAATTAGGCACATTCACTTCACCTGGCCTGAGCCACAATTCTGTAGTTTTTTCTATGGGTGTTGGGTATAATAGGCCAGGGAGCTTCTGTCTCCATTGTCAACAGATACCTAGTTGCTGGTTTTGTGGGGGAAGTTTTTGCTTTATTGTGACCAGTGCACTTTATTGCTTTATTGTGACTGAGGAGGCAGTTTGTGCTATTCAGCTTCCTGTGTTCATTAGTAATCTCCCTGGACTCCAGGGATTACCAGTGAACCTAGGAGGCTGCACAGCAGGTACTACCTCCTGAGCCATGCCCCAGAACCTGCATTGGGCATTATAAACATTCACATTCATTTTTTAAGGAAGATACTGCAGCTTTTCCTGGATGGCTTGAGATCTGGGGAGAAGAGAAGGGGGGAGGCAAAGCATGGTTGCAGCTGGCCCGGGGCTCCTTCAGGAAGATGGGGGAGGCTTGGAGTTTTGGCTGGCCCATGGCTCCTCTGAACAAGGGGGTGCCCATTGCTCTGGCCACAGAAGAATAGGGGGTCTTGGGGCTCTAGCTGGGAGAGGAGAGGGAACGCAGGGCTCCATTGCAGGGCTGGGGCAGAGGTGAAGGGTGTCAGGGGCACAATCTGCTGCCCATGTTTTTTCCCCGCCAGAGAGGCAAAACTAAAGACGCATCAGGTGATAACAGACACCTGGAGTTTATAAATAAGCCGAGAGTTCACTCTGTGGGAGAAGTGCTGAGCCAGGCTAGACTTGACTCCTGTGAGGGTCTGTAGCTTCAGAAGCTGTTGGAGCTTAGGATTGATCACCCCAAAAGTCAGGCAAGAAAGAGTTAAAGACCAATTAGGCACATTCACTAGAAAGCAATTGGACATTTTGTTACCTTGGAAGCAGTTTGGCACTAGTTGTTTCTCAGGTGAAGGGTTAAGGTGCATAAAGATGGAGGGGTAGCTAGAGATGCACATCCCCACAATGTTTAACGGTACCACAAGGGGCAGTCTTCAGGTGCGTATGCACAATTACAAATCTGTGTCTTTAATTATACACCTTCTAATGGTCAAGAAACATGTAAAACCCATAAACAGAGATAAAAGGTATTGTAGACCAGCTGGTCATCTGAAGGAAAGAAAAAGTTGAATTTTCCTTAATAAAATTGTTTAATTTTTAATTTTAATTTTACCTTTAAGCACTGCCTTGATTAGGTCTGTGCCATTCAAATATTTGTAAGCCTTGTTATCAACCAAAGAAGCTCACCATTTTTACAGACTAGGTCATACAAAGTAGCTATGAGCAAGTTTTGCAAAAGAATCTGTAGCTTACTAGGTAGTATCACACTGTCAATAGTGGCTGTTGAACATAAGACAAGATGCCTCAAATTGGAGGTATGTTCTATAATCAGCAGGGCCAACAGTCAGCCCTTAGCACTGTCTGGACCAAAGCATGCCCTATCTCCCTCCCCTCAGAGCAGTGCTCTGGTAGCAATTCAAAGGGACCTGGGGCTCCAGTTGCCATCACTGCTGCAGTACCAGTGGTAGCCAGTAGC